TTTTGGGGGGGGGAGAGAGAGAGAGAGAGAGAGAACACGAACATGGGTATCAGCAAAGCTGTGTAGTTTTACCTATAACAGAAATTTTTAAAAATAGGTTTTACCAAAATAGCTAAATAGTAAATAAAGTATGCATGACATAGGTTTGGCTTATACATTTGCAAAAGTTTTTTTTCCCAAAAGGATTCTTAGTGCTTTATCCAAACCAGAATTACTATTCTATTCTGTAAGATTATTTAAGCCAACACTTTAGTGAGCTTTTCATAATAAAGGCAAAGACTATATTCAGCTAATGCCTTAGAAAAGAATCTTAAGCGTGGATGAAAACCATCTGAAACACCTTTAAATGGGCTGAATGTGCTTTTGTCTCTGTCTTCTTGAGAAGTTAAGAACTGTATCGCCATCTTGAACTATTTGAAGGGGTGCTATGTAGGGGATGAAACAACAAGCCAACGAAGTGGTTTTCCTGACTTCAGAAGAAAAGGATCTGAGCCAACAGCTCAAAAGGACAACAGCAATTTCGACTAAAAGTTAGAACACATTCCTATCAGGACAACCTACTTAACAGTGAGACAGGCCACCTTGGAAGTGGACCCTCTTTTTATTAGAGGGTTTAAAGAGAGGCTGATGGCATCAATCCAGGATGCAGTCAATATCCTGCCTCTGTAGAACTAGATGACCGTCATGACCTCTTCTAGAGCACTGGACTGGACCTGGAAGATTCAGGTTCAAATTCCTAGTTAGCCAAGGAGCTTGAGTTTGAGACACTGGGCCTCGCCTATGAAATGGAAGAGAGAAATCCATTTTTGCTGCCCTGAGCAGATTGACAGGAGCAAACTAGAGGAAAGATAAAATAAACAAATTATAGAACACACAACTGGTTTATACTCAGCACTCTCTCACTCTGCAATGGCGTAGAACTGCCTTCCTCAACCTAGTTGGTCCACTAGTCTTGTAGCATTCTCCTAATTGTCAGAACAATCGTTTCCAAATGTCTGGAGAAAAAGCAACTGATTTCTGGTACATAAAAGACTGGTAAATTCTTTTCTATACCCTCCTGTTCTTGCTGAACTACAACTCTTAATATCCCTCAACATTGGCCATGTGACTACAGTTGCTTAGATTGACGTTCAGCAATCTCTGGTGGCTTGTAAGTTCTGAACCACTCCGTGGTACACATACAAACAGATCCGAAGATACCTAAATCTAGTCATCCACATCCACATCCATAAATTATATTGAAAGCTAAATTTTCCACTCATTCATTTTTTGGAAAAAAATTCCTAAAAAACCTAAAAATTTGTTTTTAACCAACAGCTTTAAAATTATGAGAGAGACTGAAAAGTAGGGTTACTGAACAACCCACAATAATACAGGCAAGCAGAGGTGAAGGCTAAATTATTCCTGATACATTAGAAGTGGTTATAGAACTTCATAAATATTTCTCAAAATGTAAATCCAGAAATCAGCCAAAAGGTTTCCACAGCTGTTTCTATAGTTCTCCTTCCCTTCTCATTTGGATTCAGCCAACAAATTAGATTTAAATGAAAACCATGAACACAGGATGTTTCATTTCGATCTGTGAAGGTTAATGCAGAACTGGCCACATTCAAGAATGTTCATTTCTTAAGCAGATGGTAGGATTTAAATATCACCAAAACGAAAGGGGGAAGGGGGAGGAGAAGACTAAAAAAGACAAAGTTAAGACAGTAAACAGTACTATCTAACACACTGATCATAGTATCTTGAGAAACTATTTTTATCTTGGCCCATCCAAAGAAGTAACATACTGAGTATAACGAGAGAAGCTTCTGCAGTTCACCTAATTCCAGTCGTTCTCAGAATCCCAGCCACAAGAATGGGAAAAATAAGTCTAATATTACTACCAATGGCAGTAGCCGACTAAGTGTCAAGATTATGTCCCCTTGTTTGCAACACGCAACCCCCTGGAGACCTGTGAGTGATCCTAAGGTATGGTCCATAGAGGAGATAGAGAGGGCTAGCTTAAGTAATGGCCTTAAGCTTTCTATGGCTTCTGAGCTTCATTTATGCCTAATCTTTTTATCTCCTTGGTATGCAGCCTACCAACTGCTTGATCACTAAGGATACATCAAGGGAGCTAGTAAATGTTTCCTCAGATTATCTTAAAAGGTGTAAAGAGAAGACACTTGAATTATGTCCAGGAATGTAAATGGTCAATACCAATGAGTTGGGAAAATGCCAATCAACTTCATACCTCTGCTGAAATTC